ACAACCCTATATCTGCCTATTTCTCCACATTCCACTTTTGGACCTAATCTTGGTTTATGACAGTTTAGCAATCAAACTACATTTTTGAAAGCCATATATATATATTTTTGTTTTACTTTGTCTGAAGATAAAATAACCCCAGAGCATGCACAAGGTAAACATGTTGTCTTCTGACCTCATACTTGATCTTCTGACCCATCTTGGCTTTCTTGATCTCCTCCAGTGCAGACTTCCTCCCCACCTTCTCCCTCTTCTCCCGTCTGGAGCGAGACTTGGCCAGACCGCCAGAATCTCCTTGGTCATCTGAGGAGATAAAAACGCGTTGTGCTGAAGATTTACCTGCAGTTTAACTCGTGGTGGTTTATCATAAAGAGGAAAAAGTGACAGACTAGGCCTGAACACACGACGTGACATATATGATTAGTGTCTAATAACAACGCAGCTGTGAACACAGACTTTTAACCCTTGTTTTAACCATAAATAACACCAAGTTCATCAGATAAAGTTAAAGAACACAGGTTTCCACAGCCTGACCGGGTGTCAAGCCGAGCTAACTAAAAGAGTTAGCTTCTTCGCTACGGATGCGCAAACTAGCAAAAAATAAGCTAGCAAGCATCGCGCGGCGCAAACTCACCACCGTCCAGAACGTCCATATCTTTATCTGGGTTTGATACCGGAGCCATGAATTTACGGTTTTATCTTTAAACTGCGTGTTAAACTAACAGCTACCCGGTGTAGCGACAGACGCAACAAACACAACAAAGCAGCTCGCGCCAAACAGCCTTCCCGGGGAAAGTCATACGCAGGAAGTGACGACACGCGTGTCTCAGCCAATAGGGTGAGGTGCTGTTTTTCATTACGCCGCACGATGGCGGTATTGTACAACCTGCAGTTCTGTTTTACTTCCACTGTGATTGTGTGTTAACAGTATTTTTTTCACCAGTTTTTAAAAACTGGTCGTTTTAAATAAAAAAAATTGTTATGCAAATATATTATTTTTTTACATTAATTGTTTGAATTATGACAGCAAAACAGGAAGTAAACATCTCGTCTTTGAAAAAAATTAAACAGTTTAAACAGTTCAAAACGTGTTTAATACTGAATGCGGTTGTAGCAGCCAGTAGAGCATATCCGAGGTTTTTAAGTTAAATAAATAACGCTGTTCTATACAACAACTCGCACTGTTTGTTAGCTAAGCAGCTAAAACGTTAGCTCCTTAATTAGTTTTAACTTCATTTGAGGTTACTTTACACCGTTTTAAAAATGTTTTTCTTTTTGACCTAAACGTTTATTTATGTATATTTTAATTACTTCTCTGAAGATGCTTTGGCAGGCTCCGTCAAAGCGCTCTGTTTACGTTGCTGGATCGTTCTCTGATTGGTCCATTTTTAGAGCTCTCTCCTCTTTCCGTCACCATGGAGAAAGTTAAAATCGTCTATTAAAACGATGTCTCACTCGTTGCTAAAAAACACTACCACTTGTTTCAAGGCTTTATCGAGTTGAATTATGAAATATAAAGCAACATCTTTGGATTTGATTTGACTTTTTATGTTCTCCTCTACTTTTCCTTATAAAAACATGCATTTATGCTGGAATAACACGTTCACGACGAAGGCGGGTTTATTATTTTTTGAGAAATGTGCGAACAGCCTCAGAGTGAGACCTCTTCGTGTTGTGTTTCCTGCAGCAGATGAATCACAGAGAAGAGGAGGAGGTTGGAGGTGAAGACAGACAGAAAAGACAGAACAGAGAGTAGGCGGGGACAAAAAGAGGAGACAGGGTGGCGAGGAGAGAAGCATCGTCTCACTGATGCTGCTGAGTCACATCACCGCTGCATCCCATGAGTCTTTGGGAATAATGGAGGAGCTTGAACACACCTGCCCTCATCCCCGGACGGTAGGGAGTCTGTGTGTGGCTCTTTTGTTGCTTTTTGTTTGTTTGCTTGTTTTTGCAGGGTGTGTTTGTGTGCGAGACAGGAAGTGGTGGGCAAACAAAAGACCCAGCTTTTCTCCTCTGTTATAAAACAGATGATGTGTAGCATGTGGCTGCTGGAGATGCTCCGAGTGCTGAGTCGACGGCTGTTTGCAGGAGGAAGGAGGGGTGGGTTGTGAAAGCGTAGCAGTGTTTTAAGACAGAACCTCCTGTGTCCAAACATCCTTTTTTATCCTCTGATGCCATGCCACGTCTTGGCATTCGTGTTTCGCCAAACCCTCCATTTTCATCCCAAAAGCTTCTTTTGTTTTGAGGCAGTCTCTGTTTATTGTCCTTGCATGCTCCATAACATCCAACATATATATATAT